GGGGGGGGCAAAGGGTGAGCATGTAGGGTGTCAGTGAGGCAGTTCGTCAGTGAGTGAGTCAGTGAGTCAGTAAATGTGTCAGTCAGTGAGTCAGTAAATGAGTCAGTCAGTAAATGAGTAAGTCAGTAAATGAGTCAGACAGTAAATGAGTCAGTCAGTAAATGACTCAGTCAGTCAGTAAATGAGTCAGTCAGTCAGTGAGTCAGTAAATGAGTCAGTCAATCAGTAAATGAGTCAGTCAATCAGTAAATGAATCAGTCAGTCAGTAAATGAGTCAGTCAGTCAGTAAATGAATCAGTCAGTCAGTAAATGAGTCAGTGAGTCAGTAAATGAATCAGTCAGTCAGTGAGTCAGTCAGTGAGTCAGTCAGTAATTGAGTCTGTCAGTAAATGAGTCAGTCAGTGAGTCAGTCAGTAAATGAGTCAGTCAGTAATTGAGTCAGTCAGTAAACGAGTCAGTCAGTAATTGAGTTAGTGAGTCAGTAAATGAGTCAGTCAGTAAATGAGTCAGTCAGTAAATGAGTCAGTCAGTCAGTCAGTGAGTCAGTGAGTAAGTAAATAAGTCAGTCAGTGAGTCAGTGAGTCAGAGAGTCAGTAAATGAGTCAGTCAGTCAGTGAGTCAGAGATTCATTAAATGAGTCAGTCAGTCAGTCAGTCAGTGAGTCAGTTGGCCCGGCGTCCACTGCGCTTTTTCGTCACTTGCAGGCCACGCTCACATGAAAATGAGCTTCTTTTTGTCAGTCACTGACTGCTTTTGCCTGACTACGCTATTTTGCTGCATGTATGCTTTTTTGCCAGTCGTACAGGTGACTAAAAGAAGCCTCGATTCGACTCATTCTGGAAGAAAATTTGCATATTTTAGTACATTTCTGCTTCTTCATTGCACTTTACATGATCAATAAAGTTGTATCTCATTATAATATGTTGTACAATATTAGATGTGTGCTGAAAACAGCAAAAAAATAAATTAAAGCACTTGACCTAGATCTAGATTATTTCGTTCACGGGAGAGCTAAAAATAGGTTAGTCAGTGAATCAGTGAGTCAGTCACTTATCTTTATTACTATTGTTTATTTTAATTGTTATTATTCTTGTCATCATTGTCTTATATAATAATATTAATAAAAATAACAAAGATTCATAAACTATTTTCCTGTTGTTTTAGTCTGCCTTCTGCCTTTCAATTCTTTCTATAACCCCCCCCCCCCCCACCCCCGCCCCTTAAACCTCTTTTCATTCCATTCCTCAGGTGCCAAGGGATCCACGTGGTGTGGGTTTTTTTGTTTGTTCGAGAAAACAGAAGAAAATAGACAGAGCATGCGGTCATTTAGTGCTGGGAAGAAAGTAAGACAAACAGACAGAAACAGCTGAGGGGTAACATATAAGTATTCCCTACCAGTGACGCCCTCCAACCACCCACACAGACAGAAACAACAGAGGAGTTGTATATATACGTACGACCTACCAGTGGCGCCCTCCAACCACCCACACAGACAGAAACAACAGAGGAGTTGTATATATACGCACGACCTACCAGTGGCGCCCTCCAACCACCCACACAGACAGAAACAACAGAGGAGTAGTATATATACGCACGACCTATCAGTGGCGCCCTCCAACCCCCGCATTGTTTCACTATAAAAGTCAACAATGTCACTATTCTCCTGACGTAAACATAATCTGTCGAGATACGGAGTGGTGCCACTGTGTGGTGGAACCGTCGAGGCCCGTAACATGTCTGCCTGCTAACCTGGAGCAAGGTGATGTTGGTGACGTCTTCCAGGAACAAGGGGAGAAAACTCGGGTCTGTGAAGCTGGAGGTGTCCTGTCCGAAGCCGTACTGGAACAGGCTGTTGCTGTTGTCTACTGACCCTGGGGGGGGGGGGGGGGGGGGAGGTCTATGGTGGTTATCATCATACACTTGATGATGATGATGATGATGATGATGATGATGATGATGATGATGATGATGATCTTAATAATAATAATAATAATAATAATAATAATAATAATAATAATAATAATAATAATAATAATAATAATAATAATAATAATAATAAAAACAATAATAATAGTAATAATAGATAGCATATTTTGTATAGCGCAAATCCCTGCTCAACAGAAAGCTCTATGCACTTCAAAATCTATACTATTACCACAGCAGACCTGAGAGCATTCTGAAAAAAAAACCTCAACTTCCTGGGAAGCATACAGTGTAAGTTGCCATTTTTTAAAACGCTAAAACACTAACATACTGACTAGATCTTTCGCTGTTTATGGCTGAGTAGCCATTCCCACCTGGATGAAGAGAGGAAAATTTGTGTAAAGTGCCTTTCCCAAGGACACAACGTCGGGCCCGTGGCTCAAGAACCCAACTCCGCAACCTCACGATTACGAGTCCGGTAGCCTAACCACTATACCACCGACGCCTCAACAAAGATGATAATAGCAATAATGATAATGATAATAACAACAATAACAATAATAATGAATAACATAAACGATAAAGCACGTTTCCACTGAGAGAGAGGTCAGTGTACTTAACAAGGGTACGAAGAACAAACTGTAACTAAAATGGTGATCCTTCCCCACCCTCCCACCCCCACCTCCCATCTCTCGACAGTTTCACCAGTGGTACACAGTAAGAACACTACACGTTTGCCACAGATTTGAACTTCTACACACAACACTGTCCTG